ACGAACCCTGAAGTGAATTTTATAACAATTTTCAGCATTTTGAACTCTCGTTTTGATTCTCCTGGGCATATGATTTTATTTTTATCATAAAAATTTTCAGTTGATTCTACTACTACAACGCAGAGTACAAAAAGGATATTGCTTCAAAGAGAAATATTAGTTTGCTTGAGATTTGGTCACCGTATTACAAGGGAGAACGCGCGCGAGAAAGCAGAGATGTCGACGGGGGACGAGTAGCAGGGCGTGCTGTGTGTGAGACCTACTATAGCGCTTCTATCAAACTTGACGCGGAATCACTGCGGAACGCGGTGCGACTCGCCCGCTGATAAGTCTGCCTCGCTGCGCGATGGGCGGGCTTCCTGTCAGGTACCACTGGCAGCAATGGAGAATAGGTTAGGCGAAGGTAAGTTGTGAGTACCCAGCTGGGAATGAGTTCGTATTAGACTTTCCCTCGACACGTGGCTTATCCTCTACTCCACCATCGAAACTGTGCGGACAACAGTGAGACCTCTAGTTTATCTCTTTGAATACCAGCGTTCGCTTTTCACATCTATGAAAACGTTCGATTGTAATGCAACGACGTCTATGGGGTCTTATTCGCAAATAAGTACTTCTGCTCAGTGCACTGGAGTTCAGCATTATCTAGCAGAATTTTCGCTGGTTGGCTACACGTTTGTTGGCAGAGTGATGTTATAGTTAAGATTAATGATAAGTATAGAAAAATTTTGTTCCAACATTTTCAGGAGGTTTTCTCAAAATTCGACGCCACCAAATCGATAAGTACAGAAATCCTCTACAGGACTCGATATTTATGCGCCAAATATCTAGGAGGAGCGTGGAATCGGTTGACACTTGACCAGCTCCGGGTCAAAGCCATCACGTGAGCCTTTTTTTCTTCCTAAAGCGTTTTCTCATTCGGACTCATTTTCTGATATTTTGCACGTTTTTATTAATTCCTGACTTTTTGCGATAAACTAAACTACGGCAGTTGTTGAATGAAGTATGCTTACATTTTAAGGGGTGGCATGTCCAATCTGTTGTTCCTTGTCGAACTGGCTCCCGACGTCGACACGATTGGTTTGGAAGCTCGACAAGCGTTGTTACGAATTCAGTGTCAGACTGATCTCGATCAACTGCTTACAGAATCAGTTGTCTTCACCATGCTTTCAGGTCAGTTCCGTAAATTGATAGATTTAAGAGCTAGCAATTAGGTCGCGGACGTGCAGTAGCTAGGCCCCCTATCGTCCTTCCTTTTTAGCTGCAACTTGCCCAACTTCACCTGAAAAAAAAGGTTTTTGACCTAGATGGAAGTGTTCTTACAACAATGAAAAACTTCACAGACTTCAGTTGACGAGCCGTTCTTCACCATTTCATTTTCACTCATTTAGCTATTCATTTGTCTTCATCGGGCTTCGATTTTGGCTGTAACATAAGCCCTTTTCCTCCTTCTGATCACTACCACCCTTTGCTGGAGTGCAACCTTACACTGCTCCCATAGCGCGTTCTCAAGCCTACACTAAAGGAGGCGATTATTATAAAGAGGGAGCCTAAAGAGCATCGGGGAATCATGTGCGCCACACGAAGCACTAGCTCAGGCTGCCAGGGAAGCGAGGTGTAGCGCTTTCACGACGAAAGGTGCGCTGGTTGCTGAGCAGGACTTCGAAAGCACTCCGCCCCAAAAGCGATCCGCCCACTAGTTTAGTTGGTGATTTGGAGCTGTGTTGCCAGCAGCGGCACAACCAGGAGCAACTCGACTGGAGCATGGTTTATCATGGTGCTGCAAAACGCGTAGGTAAACTCGTGCATATGTCCGCTGCCTTAGCCGTCTTCCGTCAAAGAGTGAAAATAGGGCTGCTGGGGGGGGCCTTTTGTGTTTTCTTATCGAATTTTTCTGCTTTTCGCCGCTAGCACACCATTTAGCACCCCTCATTCCTCTAAAGCACTACATGACCTATTGTAATCGTTGCCTTAAATGTCAGCGTAGAAGAGCTTTGACGACTTTGTAGACGTGGATCACCAAGTGTCACAGTCGAAGACTTATGAATCCTCGAAAGGATCCACTTTTTGGCGGCTAATTATTCATATCACGCACATTTGTGTTTAGAACGATGCCTTGGCCCGAAGCTTCTTGGAGTGTTTCCCGGTGGTCGTTTTGAGCAGTTCATTCCCAGCCGACCACTTACATGTCTCGAAATCAGCAAACCTGCGTAAGTTTTTTCTAGTTAATTTCGCTTCCTTCTCGATGAGAAGATTGCTCAATAAGGATGCAGGTACTTGTGGCTTAAGATTTCAGTGTTACAGATTACGGGCACTGGGAGAAACCACGAAACTCCTGCATAGTTTCTTTTGAAACGACCATATTCGATTTGGGTTAGAAGTTGCAATGGCAGCAAGGGTCTGGCTTAGTAAGCTCCCGATCTGTTGGGTAAATTCTAGGCTTCGAACCTCGCCGATACAAATCGAACCCTCCTTCTTCAGGGTGGTTGAGTAATTTTCATCTTCTCCGAGCTTGCCCACTCCTAGGCTTAGTTCTAGAGGATGCCATTGTATCTTGCGATGGCGTCCATTTGCAGATAATTCCAACCCCTACCTTTATTATTATGTGCCCCTCACGCACCAGTTTATCCCGGGGCCTGCCTTCGAGTAGGTACCATGGAACCTACTCACTCGTACTTGAATCGCGTCGATTAGTGCTTATAGTACGTTTGTTCACTTGCTCGACAATTACGCCATTCTAAGTTCATCAATTTACGTTCCTGGATATCCGAATTCTTATAATGTTGATGAAACCTCGTTTCATAACTAGAGGCAAATGAAACCGATTTCAGAATTGGACGAATAATTGCGCCAATGTTGGCACGAGTACACACCCTTGACGTGCCGATTACTAAGGAGCCAGAAGTGATGACCTGCGCTCGCGGTTGGGTGACTAAATTCCGTCAAACCGCTGGAGGATCTCGACCAATCAAATTGTACTGCACAGCCGCTCGCGTACCTCGTGAATCGGTTAGTTAAAATGTACTCAGTGGGAAAATATACTAAAATGTTCAAATAATTCTTCATTGCAGCCTCCCAACATATAAGTGACCTTTGGGACAACGGCGAATGATTTGTGTATCACTAGAACTCCCACTGTGATTTTTCAGTATCCTTCATCAATCACCTGTGATGAGCTCGAGCAAGAGCTGCAATTTGTCGAGGATTTTTTAGTGAAGAGTAAAAGCCCCGTGGTGTTCTCTCATAATGACCTTCAGGTGAGCAAAATGCTTTTTCTTTAGAGACTGCTGGGTGATTCGCCGTTGTTTTTCGTTTCGGGTTTTTCTGAATATGTCAGGTTTTTTTTTCGTTCTAGGAAGGAAACATTCTCCTCTGCGATGAATGTAAACTCAATGATGACGGCTGCATAAAACGTCCAAATGATGGCAATCATGAAACGGACCCATTGGTCTTCATTGATTTCGAATACTGTAGCTACAATTATAGGTCTGTTTTCGTTTATTTTCGACACGCAGAGGCCTATTTCCTTCGCAGAATGGACGAGCTATGTAGTTCTGTCCGCTGTCATAACCACTCATACAGTGGAATTTTGCCCCTAGGTAGCATTTCAACGGGATTATAATTCTGATAAGGTTTCATTCACACTATACAAAAGAATTCGTGATAATGGCTCTCCTCCACGCGGTGTTGGCTTCACAAATAAAGTAGCATCAACCTAAAAAATGGAAGGAAGGTGCGGCCGTTGCGTGGAACGAACTTGGCATAATACGTCCGCGTACTCCATTCGCATCACATTCAATCAGATGCCCTCATAAAGAAAAGTGAGCTAGCGGCCTTCATCGATTTGAGCTAACTGTCTCGCTAAGAAACTGTTGTCCCGTTCTCAGACCCCCTTTTCATTCGCGATATATAAACTCGTAGACGCCCTGCATTTTCTCTGTGCAGCAGTTGATTTCTCGGAATTTTTCGATAGGAGGCACGAATGTAAAAAAAACAAACGAAAACAAAAGAGTAGACAACGCTGTAAAACGTCTAGCGAAAATCGCAACACTGTTTAAGCCATTTTTGATGAAAACAGACGACTTCCAATTTTTCTCGTTTCTTCTCAAAGCTTCGAGTGCTTTCTCGAGTGGAAAGAAACGCTATCTATTTTGAAAAATATTTACTTTGTTTTGAAATGCGTTCTGGAGCAACTTCTATACTATTTTCTTCTTTTCGAAAACTTTCTTATAATTTGTGCTTTGTTTGTGCTAAAATATCCCATAACTAACCAAGTATTTCACTTGTTTTTCCCTGATTTTAGTGAGGTCTTTAACTAAATGGCTTATTTTCTGCATCTCTAAAGTTTCATAAGTGTGCAAAACTTCTGACCACTGAGCGGATCGAACGCCCAACCTTTCGATCTGGAGTCGAACGCGCTACCATTGCGCCAAGCGGTCACGTGCATCGATGCCTAAGCACGCTTCATATTGCAGGGGATTCGATCTTGGCAACCATTTCTGTGAATACGCCTACGATTACAATTGTGATAAACCACCATACTACAAAGTATACGATGATATGTTCGATGTGGTTCATGAGAGGAAAAGTTTCTGTGAAGCATACTTGAATGAAGTTTATAAGGTGAGTACTAATTTTCAATTGAATAGGAAGTAATCACAAATTAAACCAATGGGTAAAGAAACAAACTCAAAGGTCCAGATTGCTTAGAATTTCTCTTCTGCCGTTTTTTAGTTGTGTTTTTCTGATTGAACCCTTGCAAGGTGAGAAGCCATAAAATTCTTCAAATTTTCAAACAACATTTAGGTTCTTGAGCCTTATTGTGTGATCTTCGTAGGGGTCCTTTTAAAATAAAACTCCTCAAACCTCACTAGGCAATATTTCGGGCCCAAGTGTTTGAATTCAGTTGTGAACACGGGTGGGATTTCAAAAGGGCTGCAATGTTCATCTAGAATAATTTTTGATGGCGGAGGTGGTGTAGCGGCAAGTACGTAGCGCCGCTTACCACGTGCATAATTCGAGGACGGATTAGGCCCTGCATCATCTGCTATCCGGCGTCCTTCACGCTTTCTATCGGAATAGTTATATTAGGATGACCTGGCAGGATAAAACTGCTGCCTTGCATATCAGCTAGTCTTTGCAACATTCTATATGCTAAGTTATACTCAAAATGCCATTGATTCCGTGTATAAGTAGCATGCATGGCGCATCCCAAAACGATGATTAACACCAAACGCTTCATCCATCACCCGTTATAATTGCTAAT